AAATTATTGACACAAATTTAATTTATCGTTTTTTTTTTAATTTCTGTCACTTTTTTTTAGTATTTGTCACTTTTTCTTTTGAATTCCTATCACTTCCAATTTATAGGGTGTTGTGTTCCTAAAATGTAATTATGTCACATATGTAATTAATAGAAGATGTAATTAATAGAAGTGAAACATAATCACAAAAAAGGAAAAAAAAAAAAACATAGAATCAACCACCCCTAGATCTATTTTTAGGTTTTGATTGGCGTTTCTCACTTTTTTGAGTGTTAATATTTTCTTAAATTTCTATCATTTTTTTTTTAATTTCCTTCATTTTTTGAGTGTTAAGGGTTTTTGAGGATTTGCCGTTGTACGAAGAAATGTTCGTTTATATGAATTCTTTGTGGACATAGAAGGCAAAGTTTGTTTAAGCCAAGACTCAGATTGAGATATTGGCGAAGGGGGAGAATGGGAAACTGTAATCGACTTTGGTGAAAATTTGTTCTATTTGATAGGATTTAAGATGTATGTCACTTTTTTGAATTTCTGTCGATTTTTGTCACGTTTTTTAGTCACTCTTTTCTGTCACTTTTTGGAGTTTATGTCACTTTTTAATAATTCTGTGACTCTTTTAATTTCCTGTAACTTGTAAAAAAAACGTGTCACTTTTTTCGATTTTCTATTACCTTTTAGTGTCATTTTTTTTTTGTTAATTTCCGTTACTTTTTAGAGTTTGTCACTTTTTTTGAATTTGTGTCACTTTTTATTTTTGTAGAATTGACATTTAATATTCGCTCAACAATATTTATTTAAATGAAAACTCATGTTATATTCTTCTTCGTACGAGATCATAATAGACTTAAAAGGATTTCAAAAAGTGACATTGCTATATCACTTTTCTCATTTTCATATTTGTATTTACATTTTCACAAATACCTTGCATGCATAACGCGAATCGATTCAAAATTGAATTTTCATACATATTAGCCTAATTCAATTCATACTAATCTAAATTTTGATACATACTAAAAATTATTAATATAAAGATGAAATTTCATATGTTCTAGAACAACATCAGCAATATCAAAATCAAGATGAAAATTGTATTCATGATTCCTACAATTAAATTACGTAGGTTCACCCATCATGTCACTTTTTATTGTGAAAGTATAATTCATATTTAAGACATAATGTGATATATTAGATGAATAAATGATGAGATTAACATAGAATAGAAAATAAAAGAAATATTTTATAGACACTATAGTAATTATTGAACATCACGGAGAAGCCGAGGAAAAGTTGTCAAAGAGAGAGAGAGAGAAGAAAAGAAAAGAAAAGAAAGAAAAAGAAGCGGATCCCCATCCTTGAAATTGGAATGACAGTCATGTTGTGTGCTGCTTCTCTATTCAGTGTTAATTGGGCCTCTTTATTTTGTCTTTGGGCTTTGCTTGTAATTGAGCCATCGGGTTGTTCGTTTTAAATGGACTGATCTTGGCCTCACATCTGGCATACCCTAGACCATTGGATAAAATGTGTTAAGGGTGGTTTTATAACCCAGATGTAGGCAAATTTGAACCCAGATCTTAAAAATGTATTTTTTGCGGTTATGGAGAAAAAACTAAGGGTTATAGACTTTGGGCGAGAGGAAAAGATGGGTTCAGAGTTATTATTAGCAGAAATGTGATCTTTGATGAAATTCAGTTTCCTTGTAAAGACTCCTCAAATCAAAATATTGATCATGTTACTCATGTTAAAGAAATTGTATTGGAAAATCTAAAATTTAACTCTACTGAACCTGATAATTTGACTGAAGTGGAGAGTACTCAATCTTAAACAGATCAGCCTCAAAATGAATATGATATTGAAGAACAATTTTAGGATACTATTCTGGGAAATTATCAGTTGACCAGAGACAGGAGTAGAAGGAATATGCTTCCTTCTTCTAGAATTAACACTGATGAATTTGTGATACTCTAAACTTGAATCTGTCAATTTTGAACCCACAACCTTTGAAGAAGCTGTTAACAGTAAAGAATCCAAACTTTGGCTGGAAGCCATGCAAGAAGAAATGGACTCCCTAATCAAAAATAAAATATGGATTCTTGTTGATAAACCCAAAAATCAAAAGATTGTTGACTATAAGTGGGTTTATAAAATTAAAGAGGGTAAACCTAATACTTTGGGTAAAAGATATAAGGTCAGACTTGTGGCAAAAGGGTTTACACAAAGAAAGGGTATTGATTATAATGAAATTTTCTCAACTGATGCAAAGTACACATCTATCAGAATTTTGCTTGCATTTCAACTGGGAATTAGACCAACTTAATGTTAAGACTGCTTTTCTAAATGGGGATCTTGAAGAAACCATTTACATGTATCAACCAAAAGGTTTTGAACTTAACTCAAAATCTGAACATGTTTGTTTGCTAAAGAAATCCCTCTATGACCTAAAACGAGCTCCAAGGCAATGGTATAAGAAATTCTACTCCTATGTTCAGAATCTGGGGTTCCTTAAGAGTAATTTTGATTCCTGTTTTTTCTTCAAAGGGTCAGGATGACCTGAATCTGTTTATCTACTATTATATGTTGATGATATGCTTCTTGCTTGCCATAATAGATCTGAAATTGATTCTGTTAAAGAAAAACGTAAAGCTGGATTTGAAATGAAAGATTTAGGACAAGTTAAAAGAATTTTTTGGCATGAAAATTAGAAGAGATTGGAAAAACTGTGTTTCGTATGTGAATCAAAACTCTTATGTAAATAAAGTACTTGAAAAGTTTGCATGACTGAATGCAAATCTGTGACTTTGCCTTTTGCTAATCATTTCAAACTTTCTAGTGAACAATCTCCTAAAACTGATGAAGAATATGATAGGATGAGTAAAATACCTTATGCTAATGCTGTTGGCTCTATTATGTACCTTATGATTTGTACAAGACTTGACTTAGCTCATGGTATTAACATCCTTAGTAGATTTATGGCTAATTTAGGTGAAACACATTGGTTAGCTATTAAATGGATGATAAGCTATCTAAAGGGTTCAACTGAATTAGGTTTTAAGATTTCAAAAATGTAAAGAAGGTGTTAACCTGAAAGGATACACTGATTCTGACTTTGCGGATGATTTAGATAAGAGGAGATCCACATCTTCTTATGTTTTTACTCTTTGTTGTGTTAGTTGGAAATCTCAATTGAAAAATATTGTAGCATTATCTTCCACAGAAGTTGAATACATTGCAGCTTGTGATGTTGTTAAAGAATGACTATGGTTAAAGGGTCTTTTAAATGAAATTGGTTTCATGAATGAAGTAGTTAGAATCTATACAGTTAATCAAAAGTGCCATTCATTTAAATAGAAACCATGTATTTCATGATAGGACTAAACATGTTGACATTAAATTTCACTTTGTTTGAAAAAGGTTTGATTAATCTAGTTAAAATCCCAACTGAGTTTAATCCTTCTGATTTTGGTACCAAGGTATTACCTCTAAACAAATTCAGAAACTGCTTGAAAATTCTTAACATATCTTGAAGGTAATGAATTTAGTTAAATTCTATATCTGCTTTATTTTGTCTTTAATACAAACTGACTGTTTTTTCTTTACAGGAACATTAGAGCAAATGAAACAAGTGTAGTTATGACTTGAATCCACGAAAGAATACCAAAAATAGATCAGCAAGGTGGAGATTGTTGTGGTCTACCTCTCTATTCTATGTTAATTGGGCCTCTTTATTTTGTCTTTGGGCTTTGCTGTGTAATTGGGCCATCGGTTGTTTGTTTTAAATGGACTGAATGGACTGACAAGCCTCACATCTAGCATACCCTGGACCGTTGGATGGAATGTGTCAAGGGTGGTTTTATAACCCTCTTTGTGTGATTCATCTCTTCATCTTCTTTGTGATCTTCTGATTCTGATATCTGTAATATCTTAGTGATATTGTTAGATTGCATTTGGTGTACAATTTTAGAGGTTGTGAAGAGAGGGTTGTATGAAAGAGGCAAAAGGAAACTTACATTCTGTAATTGTTCTTTGTGATTCTTAGTGGATTCGAGCGTAATCTGCTTTATAGATGCTCAGGTGAGTAAGCTTTCAAGATGAACATCCGGGCCCTAAAGGGTGAAAAATATGTGTGTTCTTCGTTTCTGCAATTTTATTTTTCTGCTTTTATGTTTTTGTATGTAAATCTTGATTCTGGAACCAACAAGTCCCTGTTTTCTTCTCTTTTGGAGTCCACATAATTATTGGCCCCAAATCAAGCATTTTAACTATACGGTTTTAATCAATGCGTTAACTTTTCTACTGATATTTCAAAATGATTCCAATATTAAGAGCATCTCTAAAGTCCCCTCGAAAATTCTGATGGGGATTATGACATTGAACGAAAATGCGAGTTTGGAAATGCACGACGGCTACATTGTGGTTTTAGTTCATTAATGGCTTAAAAAACTGGTAATCTTCTCGTTTGGCCTCAATATTGCTATTTTCCAATAGGCTAGCTGGAAATATCAAGTATCAATCATTCGGTATAAACGGAGAATAGATAAAATTGCCTTTTAACTCATTCTAAGTGGGTTATTTTTTCTGTTTCTTTATATTTGTATGTCGATATATTGCTAATTTGGCCAAACTTTGACGCAGCTTTCCATCAAAAAAGAGCTGGTCATACATTTTTTTCATTTGTTTAATTTTTTTCCCGGAGTCAACTCCTATACATTGGAATAAGATAAGGTTTAGAGTAATAATAGACTAAGATCAAAGTCAAAAAGTCTCAGTATGACATCGACAGTATAAACAAATACCACTGCAACTGTTGAAGTCACAACAGCTCCAAGCACTGGTTAAATTACAAAAAGTACACAGCATAGATAAAATTTAAGTTGCCATTTATGAGCACAATACTAGGCACTGCATTATATGGAACATCATTTCCTGTCCCCAATAAAAATTCCTAAAAATGCAGGCAAAAAGTGAATTGACACCTTTATTTAAGTATTGAAACCTACTAGCGATCACTTCTTCATCAACAATGCACTGCATTGTGCCATGATCTTTGACGCCCTTGTGACAGCATCCGTCATGTAGAAGTTCTCAACAGCAGGTTCAAATGGAGCCATATCCATCTTCTCCTTGATCTCGGGTCTCAAGTAAGAGGTTGAAAACGTCGCTGGCTCTCTCTCATCAGTATGCAAAAGACTGGGTGCCACAGTCCTTATTCGGGATCTGATAGCACTAAGGGTATCATAAGGCAGCTGAGCACCTGCCACCTCCGACATTGCTCTAATTATTTTCCAATCATCCCTGGCATCACCGACTGTGGGGACTGCAGGTACAGTTGTTTGAGCACATCCTTCTGTATTTGCGTATGTCCCTTCTTTCTCAGCGAAAGCTGATGAGGGGAAAATCACATTGGCACGATAAACACTCCGATCACCATGGTGACCTTGGTAAACGACAAACGCATCATCAGGAACTTTCTCCATGTTCAAATCATCAGCACCCATCAAATAGAGAAATTTGGCAGATTCAATGCTTCTGTCGGATTCTGGTACAAGTCCAAGGTCCAGAGCTGCAGCTTGCGCAGCATTAAGTAGCAACATATTAAGTCCATTCCAATCAGGTCTAACAGCATTTGCATTTTTGGCAATGGCTTCAACAGTTGACAAAATTGCATCCTTGTCCTTCCGCTCAAAGATCCCAGCTCCAACAATGATAACTGGGTTTTTAGCATTTGAGAGGGCAGAGCAAAAGGGAAGGCGTCCCTCAGCAAGTTCTATCAACGTTTGAGGGCCCGTGCCAAGATGTTGGTGATCGTAGTTGAAATCCGCAGCAGGGCCTATGTAACCAACTGTAGCATTGGTTGCTCGAACTGTTTTCCGGATCCTGGCGTTCACCATAGCAGCTTCTACCCTTGGCTGGCAGTTTCAAGAGAATAAACATGAATTACCAAAAAAAGAAAAATGACCAAAAAGAATACACATTAGTTAGTTCCTAAACACTAAAAAGGTTTCTGTGTCACCGTCAGGTGTTGAAATTTTATGCATTACCTTCAAGAAAATCTCAAGATATGATATAACAAATCAAATATTTCCAGCTTTATAATTAAAGCCAACTCAATATGGCTCTAATTCAATAAATTCACAAGGGCATCCAAAATCTTAAAAGAGGAATAACTTGCATGATGTGCCAATATAGAAGTTGTCCTTCATAGTCTCAAGTGGAGATGTTCCCCCATTCTTTTATCTGATCATTTTGGGTGCATTTACCACACCAGCGTGCGTTTATCAGCATAGTTGGTAACATCATCATAACAACTCAATTGTTTTTCGTCTGATGATCATGTCATTTCAATCACCTCATATTTTTTCTCGATCTGCTGCAAGTATGGAGCACCCAAAATCCTCTTCTATGTGAAATTAGCCTGAGTCCCACTTCCGATGGAGAATCCATCACCTCAATTGCATTCCCATCTGGCATTGGTCTTGTATCAGATGCTAAAATCCAATCTTCAATCCAAATCACATGGCTAACAAATCTGGTGGTTCTCGTAAACACAAGTAATTTCCTACCTAAATGTACACAAACCCTCATATTTCTCAACACTGCTTATTATCCCGTGAGCCTACCTGTATTTCTACTTCCAATAAAAACCCACAGGAAAACCACATGTGATAAGATAAATCCCTCACTGTAACAACATATGGTCTTTATGACCATCTAACCCGTTATGTAAACATATTCAGCTGCAAATAAGCATTTCATCTTATTCGCAAAGCTGACAGTAACATTGGTCCGTAAAATTCTCAGGTTATACATGAATTGGATTATCAATAGGACAAGGATAAGCTGTGGTATCACCTTCACTGCAATTATTGAACATAAAAACAATCAGAATTGTGATCTCCACTGCGCTCACCTTGAGGATGGGTTATCTTCCAATTGGGCATCCAAAATGGCATAATGCATTTCCTCCATGGTCAGCTTGATGAAGATGTTTTCATGAGCCAACCATTAGGCTTAGAGGATCGTTCTCATCAGATCATGTGTACAAAATGAATGTCATTCTATGGTTCAATCAAGCACCCGGTGCTTGATTCACTTGTATTTCATAGTTTTTGCCTAACCATGCTTTTATTTCATCAAAAACTGTCAGTCACAGGTCCTAATTTATATATGATAGTGTCAATATTCCAATTTTTATCTTGGTTATATAGATGACATTTTCATTGCACAATATTTTTAAGTGGCAATATTGCAATTTTTATCTTGGTTATAAAGAGAACATTTTCATTGCACAATATTTCCCATGATATTGCCTCTCTTCTCAACTCTTTAAATCGTGATGGCACAGCAGGATGTACATTCATTTCAGGGATTGAAGCTGCTACTACATCTCGCAGGCTCATACTCTCCCAGACACAAGAAGTTCTAGACCTTCTCCAGTACATGTCTCAGTGTAGATCCCTCACCACAACACTATATACCAATAATAATTTGTTAAAAGTTCTGGTGCTCCATTCAAAGAAACTTCTGAATTTAGTCATCTGATCAGCACCATCAATACCTCAACATGACCAGAAATGATATTGCCTGGAATTCAAACAAAAGTTGGCAAACTTCATGCACCAGTCAAGTGATGATTATTCTGCTGTTGTCAATTATTTTGAGCGTGGGATTTTTTTATTTTTATTTTTTTGAAAGATATTTTGAGTGTGGGTTTAGTAAGTAGAAACAGCATCTCTTTTATTTAATGTTAAATAATCAATATGGTGCATGTCATTTACAGTGTTTTACAACCTTCCTACACTAGTCCACATTAGGATACCCCAAAACTATTGAGTATATCATGACGTGTTTTCAGATCAACACTAAAACCAAAATTACCACTCAACTCCTAAGACGAAAAACCTGACATTGCTACCACGTGCATCTAATTTAAAGCAAATTGGCAAGGTTGGAGAGGCCAACAAAGCCTAAATGCTAGGTTGAGGCCTGAGGGTGATGCTATTCACAGTAAGTCGTCAAAAGTCATAAACCATAAACATCATAACCGAGGATGTTTACCTGAGTGCCAACTAAAAGGAAAACATCTGCTTTCTCCAAACCACTGATAGTAGTGTTCATGATATATCCAGAACGCAGGTCAGCATTAGGATTTGAACCATTTCCTTCACACCAAATATTATTTGACCCCATCTTGTTCAAGAAATCTTTTAGTGCCATCATTGATTCTGCATCAGACAGCTTACCAGCAACCCCTACAATTTCCTCTGGTTTAGCTTGGTGCATGACCTCTGCGACCACAGCAAATGCATCCCGCCAGCTTACGGTCTTGAAGCGCCCATCTGCACCTCGAATCATGGGGTCATTTAGCCTCTGCCTCTTCAGACCATCATAAAAGAAACGAGTTTTATCTGATATCCATTCTTCATTGATGTCCTGCATATATGTGCACAGAATGATTAAAGACTACTCTCATTCTTCAAAAAAGACAACTAGCAAAACAAGGTCAAAAGTTGACATAAACCTGTGGTCAACATGTTAGCAATGAATAAAAAATGTCATAAACAGCATCTTTTTGAACAGTGATAGAAACTTTCCACAATATTGTGCAATAGGGGGTAAAATTTAAATAGAGAGGAAATTTAATCTTAAAACAAGAAAAAGCGAATGTTTGAATAAGTGAAAAAATCAGGTGTCAACTACCACTCACAGAGAAACAACTTATAACATTCTTAGCAAGATATTGCAGATACTTTGTTACATGTCCATGTCTAGCAACATAAGTTATGATTAGACAAATCATTATTCCAAAAGTATCAAATTTAATTAGTTGACATATGACAGTAATTTTTGAATGGATGACGCTAGAAGTAAATTAGGAAACTTCAGATCTAGAAATATATAATGTAGAAATCTCTTTAACAATTGGCAATGATACCGAATTGAACAGCTCAAAGTTCGAAGATATTTGATTAAATACATAAACTGTGATTGAAGTTATTTCTCAGACAATATTTACCCACCAAATCCTCTCTCTAGCCTCAGTCTTGACTTAAAACAAAAATTTACAGGAAAACAATGCTACAATTCAAAATACCTCATTCAATCGTGGTAGAATGCGCATGACCTCTGGACCTCTACTATCAATTCGAATGTTTGAACCAACAGCATCTGTGACATCAATGCTCTCTGTTCCCTTCAACTCCCAGTTTCGAGCTTTAAAAGCAAAAGGTTTTGAGGTGAGAGCTCCTACAGGACAAATATCTATCACATTCCCTGATAGTTCACTTGTCATAAGTCTCTCAACATAAGTTCCAATTTCTTCTCCACTGCCACGCCCCAGCATGCCAAGATCCTGGACGCCAGCTACCTCTGTTGCAAACCTTACACACCTGTTTAATGACCATATCCTTATTGAAGACGGTTCTCCCAAAATCATAATTTCGTTCACTTGACATATTATTTATATATATATATAGATCAGCATATAGAAAACAGCCAAAACACGTTAACTAAAACTAATTGGTTGAGAATATGATTATGGTACGTAACATAATGAAGTAATTTGAGTTTGAGAATGTAGTTATAAGTTTGAACAAGCACGGAATCGAGTGGACTGCATTATGATGGGTTTCAAACATTGTAAAATACAAGAGAATAGAAATGGCATCTCTGAGAACGGTGCTGACAGTTGACCACTAAAGAAAAAGATACTAACATAGGAACTATGTCCCTCTCATAGCCAAGACATCAATGACAAGGTTTGTTCAGAATAATTTCAGCCAGTTTATTCTGTTTCTTAGCTTCTAAATTCATGCTAAAAACTGTGATAAGCAGCCTAATAGAAAGTAAGTGTAACAATTGCCAATTTCACTTCTATCTAGAAGATCATTCAAAATTAATCCCCACCCCTTAATGCAATAGAAACTGAGGTATTAGTAATCTTAGTGATATATGTCACTATGTCCAATCAGATACGAACCTTGTACACTGAATACAACGGGTCATCACAGTCTTGACCAATGGGCCTAGGTTCTTATCAACTACTGATCTCTTCATTTCAGTGAAACGACCTCGATCAGAGCCAAATGCCATAGACTGATCCTGGAGATCGCACTCTCCACCCTGATCACAAATTGGGCAGTCCAACGGATGATTCATCAATAAGAACTCCATCACCCCTTCTCTTGCCTTCTTCGCAATAGGCGTATCAGTCTTAATCTTCATTCCTAAAGACAGATTGAGGAGAAAATATAAAAGTCGTAAGAAAGATTAGTTTTAAAAAATCACAACCAACAAAGAGAGAACATACTGACAAAGGTTAAACTCAAATCAACGAGAGAATGGAACAAAAATAAAAATAAAATCAAACATAAAATTGATGTTTCTTCACTGCACCCGTAGGAAAGAAACAAAATGATTTGGACAAAACAGAAGTCAAGCAGAGATGATGTACATAAACAGCAGAACCACACTTAAAGATGCATTAAAATGGTCTGCAGGAGTAGGCCCCACCACCCAAAAAGCAGAGAAAAAAGAAAAAATAATGCAATAATCTGTACATTGCATTTTATGGATATTAGGATCAATGATCGTACAATGGGAAAAGCAGAATCGATAAGAAGATGGTTCAAAAGCAAGTGGAGAAACTCGAAAAATGATAAACCAACAATCAGACCAGAAAATAATTCAAATACTTAAAAGGTACCAACCATAGAAATCTTCCCAATTTTACCTTATGGAACACAGAAAAAAAAATGGATCCAGCTTTAAGATTTTTCTTTAGCACAGTCTAAACTTGTCATCTACAAATCCTTCAGCATCAATAATAGCATTTTGGCAGTTGATAAATGGAAAACTAATGAGGTCAAGAACGCAGCCCTTCCCTCCTAGTGGGAGCATGTAAACATCAGAATCATATATATGAAAAGACAGGGAAAATGCTAACGAACTAGATTAGTCAAAGCAAAATATAAGTTCAAATAAAATGTAAAACTTCTCAGTATACTGTATAAAGCCAAAATTATAGTAATTTCATCAAAATAGCATTGGCAGTCCTGGTAGAGGTAAATAAATGAAAGGTTCCAAAAAAAATCAATCTCATCAAAATTCATAACCAATGATGCTCGGACTCGGGCCCGGATTCGTATCTAGGTGTCGGATCTTTTATTTTCTAAAATATAGGATATGGAGACGTGACTAAAAATAGTCCAAATTCCGGACAAGGGTACGTGGGTACGTCTTTCAAATTTCAATTTTTTTCCTAAAAATTCACATGTAAAAAGTTAAATAATAATTAAAAAAATTTATTATGCCCTGGTTTGGTGCGGATTAAAATCTGATTTTAATTCAAGTCAAAGTCAAACAATCAATATTAACCACATCTTTCATGAGTCCCACAACTTTTCAACGACACATTTCAAAAACTTCTATTAAAATCTACTAAAAATCTAATTTTAATCCCTACCAAACACCCTCTATATATAAGTTGATGTTAAACTCAAATTTCTTTTAACATTGTTGCCGTTCTTCGAGTCAAGTCACCTATATTACCCTAGCCCAACATATACTAGCCTATATACACAACCAATATAACCTAATATTCCCAGGCCCACCTATTCATATAATTTAGTTCAAACCAACCCACCAAAAAAATTGAAACCCAACAGCCAATAGCCTACCACCAACACCAAAGCCTTCAGCCCATTAAAACACCCTAAACCTATACAATCCTAACCACAAACCCTAAGCCAACGTGACTCTTCCCGTGCCCCAGCCTCTCGTCAGACCGCCACCACTTGCTCGCCATGTCGCCACCACCAGCCTCAAAGGAAAGAATCTCCATATCCTCCTCATTATCCCCAACGACACCAAACCCACCAAATACCGCCAGCAATTTCAGTTGCACCTCGATCGCGATTGCACCAACCAATTGAGTCTCCACCTTTCAGACATCACTACATTGCTGCCGCGTCTGGTAAGTTTTCACTTACTTTCTCCACAGTGACGTCACCTATTGGCATATCCAGCGCCAGTTCTATTACATTAAGCGTAACAACCTTCCTAGGTTGCCATGTCCAGTTGAAAATTGCAGCGTCTGTCTCATATTTCGTACCCTTACCCGTGTCGTGTCAACACGGGTATGTTGGCCGCCAGAAACAAGAGTCCGAGCACCAAAGCCTTGAAGGGATAGGAAAATCAACATATAGCAGAATACTATGAAATTCTCATTCTCCAATCCCTGCTAAGTGTTAAAACTATCACAATAAATTAATAAGAAAATATATAAATCAACCAAGTATCTTCAATTTCAATCCTAGTTAAAGCTTAAAGTTTCATACTAACACAAATCACTTTAGTAAAGCCAAGAACTTCACTTGCTTAAATAACAGAGAGCTTAAAATTCTAGTGAACAAACAGACACAGTAAATCGAAATTAACAAAAACTAAAATACAGAGAAATTTCATAATTTTCTATATTTGCAAATGCCAAATTAATAAACTTTATTAAAAACTCAAAATTAATGTCTTACTTTAAACTTTAGAGTTCAATCAAAATTCCATTCCAATCACTAAAATAAAAATAAATAAATAATCAAAATCAAATATTACTACCCAAGCCAAAATTATACATTTGCAGTTGCCCAAAACTTCAAATTTCAACACTATCACCAAAACACCATAAAATAATTCCACTAACACGGACTGAAAACACATACAAACAGTTCCACAAAAGTAAAACATTTCCAAATATATACACACGCGCACAAAGGAAATTAATGTACCCGGGAGAGCAGGCATGGCACAGGAGGCAACGGGCTTGGGGGACTTCTCTACTTCAACAAGGCACATACGGCAGTTCCCAGCGATGGATAGACGACTGTGGTAGCAGAATCTCGGGATGTCGACCCCAGCGATCTCACAGGCCTGGAGAACTGTCATACCCTTGGGGATTTTGACCGGGTACCCATCGACGAATACCTCAATGGCATCGTCCGGGTTGGGGAAATGGATCCGGGCACCTCCCACAGGGATCCGCTTGGGGAGATCTGGTTCGGGCTGGGATTGAGACGCTGCAGCCTCGGAGTTGTGAAGCTCCGGCGTGGATACGATGGTCCGGAGGAAGTGGGAGGTTCTGGTGGCGGTGGTTAGTCGGGAGGATCGTAGGAGGGCTCGAGAAGCGAGTTGACCCAGCCCCATTTTTGTGTATACTACTTGCTCAGGGCAATTTCAGATTTCTTATTTGAGTGTGGTGCGTGTGTTTTCCACAAATTTCAATCAGTAGTCGCTTCACCCGATATACCAACTTGGGTTTTTTGTTTATGGGCAAACTAGGCCAGATACTTTAAAAAAATTAACTAATTTGATTAATACCCTATTAATTAATTAAATCATTTAACAACGTATTTAATACGTTTGAAAACCCTCCAAACCCCCCAAACTCATGTCAATCCCAATTCCAGAAAGCTCCCAAAGGAAATCCACTCACCCAATATGATTGCTCGTTTTAGGTTGTTACATTACAATTAATGTCACTAAAAATTTCACTTTGGGTGATAACTCAGCAATATTCAGTAGCACCTTTGAATTAGAGGTGAATAATGCAAGTTATGGTAAATGGTTCTTCCGTAAAATACTACAGTGTGCAGAGCTTCAATATTAGTGAAGGGATTATGAGTGTAGAGCTCTGAATCACCCATTCTGCTACACTCGAATCAAAATTCAAACTTGAATAATTTCGGACTTCGTCGCCTGAGTTTTTTTGAGGAAAAAGAGTCGTGACTCTTAGTACTTTCCTCGCTAACGTTTGCGATGGCCAAGAGAACCAAGAAGGTAGGTATTGTTGGGAAATATGGTACCCGTTATGGTACTAGTTTGAGGAAGCAGATTAAGAAGATGGAAGTCAGTCAACACAGCAAGTATTTCTGTGAGTTTTGCGGAAAGTATGCCGTGAAGAGAAAGGCCATGGGTATTTGGGGATACAAGGACTGTTGCAAAGCCAAAGCCAGTGGTGCTTACACATTGAACACTGCTAGTGATGTGACTGTCAGGAGCACAATCTGAAGGTTGAGGGAGCAGACAGAGAGTTAAATCCAGTGAATTTTGTGTTAGATTTCTGCATTCGTGTTTTGTGTTTCGCAACTTTAGATTCGGAAACTGGCAAGTTTATGTGCCTTGAATATCTATTTGATAAATTAAATTTTTGAAACTTTAGATTTCCTTTAGTCTCTATTTTTCTTCTTGACTTTAGGCCAGTTTGTTTTAATTTATTGGAGACAAGGAGAATATGAAGGCTGAAAATGAGAATTAGCCATTGTTATTTAGATTTTATTTTTTTAGTGGAGGGTCTGTAATTACTGAGTTTTTGTAGTGTTGATTTTCGTCTTTATTTGAGAGAAAAAATCGTGTACTGACATAATGAGTTTATATTAAACTCATGTTTAATCTCATTTGTTTCATTTGAATATGTGCTTATGTCGGATAATTTTGTAATATATAGGATATGTGCACATCTGATTTGTGATTTTAGAAGAGTGTTGGATGAATTGTGAAATCCTTTGCAATGATATTTTATTGATGTTTTGGATTATTGAATTGCTAACATGTGAAATCTTCTATCTTCTCACTATGTGTTTGATGAAATGTCAGATAAGTTGGTGTTCTTGATTTTTTTTGTAGTTTTTTTTTTTTAATTGTTTTGTCACTTTTTTTTAGTGTTCAAATATGTCCACCATGTGTTTGATGAAATGTCCAAATG